TTGTTGAAACATCTCAATGGGTATTCCATCAATTCCTGGAGCTTTGTTCTTCACCAGTTCTTTCAGTGCAGCTTTGACTTCTTCCTTCATTACCATTGGTTCTTGATCATATGCCACCTCCTGAAATGGATGAAGATCTACCAGTTGTTTTTGGTGCAGTGACTCTGTATTTCTTCCATCTTCTTTTGATGTTTCCTGCATCACTCAATATTTTGCCCATAGATATTCAGTATTGCAACTTGAGGCTTAATTTTTCTCCTCAGTTCTTTCAGCTTGAGAAATGGTGAGTGTGTGTTATTCCCTTTTGTTTTCCTGACTCCAGGTCTTTGCACATTTCATTATAGTAATTGGCTTTGTCTGTTCGAGCTGCTCTTTGAAGTCTTCTGTTCAGCTCTTTTATCTTGTCATTTCTTCCATTTGCTTTAGCTACTCTCCACTCAAGGGCAAGTTTCAGAGTCTCTTCTGACATCTATTTCTTTTCTTCTTTTCTTCTCTTTTTAATGACCTGTTGCTTTCTTCATGAATGATGTTCTTGATGGCATCCCACAATTCTTTTGGTTTTCAGTCATTTGTATGCAGTTCATCAAGTCTGTTCTTTAAATGGTCCCTAAGTTCAGGAGGGATACATTCAAGATCATATTTTGGCTCTCGTGGCGTAGTGCCTAAAGCATTTGACTGCTAACCAGAAAGCTGATGGTTCAAATCCACCAGCCACTCATCAGAGTGAAGGCTGGTCAGTCTACTTCCATAGTGATATTGCCTTGGAAACCCAAGGAGGAGTCGCTATGAGTTGCGTCCGACTCAGGGCAGTGAGTTTTGTTTTGGTTTTGGACTTGTTTTAATTGTCTCCATCTTCAAGTTGAACTTGCATATGAGCAGTTGATGGTCTGTTCCACAATCAGGTCCTGGTCTTGTTAGGACTGAAGATACTGAGCTTTTCCATTGTCTCTTGCCACAGATGTAGTCAGTCTGATTCTTCTGTATTCCATCTGGCAAAGTCTACCGTGTAGCTGCCATTTGTGTTGTTGAACAAAGGTATCTGCAATGAATAAGTCATTGGTCTTGCAAAATTCTATCATGTGACCTCCAGTGTTATTTCTATCACCAAGGCCAAATTTTCCAACTACTGATGATTCTTCCTTGTTTCCAACTTTTGCATTCTAGTCACCAGTGATAATTAACCATCTTGATTGCATGTTCAGTCAATTTCAGAATGCAGGAGTTGAGAAAAATCTTCAATTTCCTCATCTTTGGCTTTGGCGGTTGGTGCATAAATTTGAATGATAGTTGTATTAACTGATCTTCTTTGTAGGCATATGGACATTATCTTATCACTGACAGCATTGTACTTCAGGACAGATCTTGAAACATCTTTTGTGGTGATGAATGCCACTCCATTCCTCTTCAAATTTTATTCCCGGCATACTAGATCATATGGTTGTCTGATTCACAGTGGCTCAAACCAGTCCATTTCTGCTCACTAATGCCTAGTATATCAATCTTTATGTGTTCCATTTCATTTTGACAACTTCCAGTTTTCCTAGATTCATACTTCGTACATTCCATGTTCCAGTTTTTAATGGATGTTTGCAGCTGTTTCTGCAGTTTGAGTGGTGCCACATCAGCACATGGAGGTCGTGAAAGCTTTACTTTATTCATATCAGTAAAGTTGGTTTTACTCTGATGATGTTGCTCTTTCCCAGTCGCATTTTGAGAGTCTTCCAACCTAAGGGGCTCATCCTTCTGCACTGTATTGGACAATGTTTACGGGCTATTCATAAAGTTGCCCAGTGATGTATCAGACAGTGTTTCTCTGCTATTCATAAGGTTTTCCCTGGCTAGTTCTTTGAGAAGTGGATGGCCTCTTCCTTCTTCCTAGTCTGTTTCAGTCTACAAGCCACACTGAAACCTGCACACCCTGTGCAACCCCACTGGCATTTGAAACACCAGTGGCATAGCCTCAAGCCTCACAGCAACATGTAAGCCATCACGGTATAACAAACTGACAGAGAAGTTTGTCTCCCTTAGCTGTTTGAAACCTCTCCACCCTCCCCTTACCTTTATCCCTTCTGGTGCTCACTTTGTCTTGGTCCCCCCTGGCTTTCCTTTCCTTTCCCCCTCTTTCCTGCCACTTGGGGGGTGGGACCTGGATCCCTCCCCTTACCTGGATCCCTGCTGCTTGCTCTCTCTTTCCTGGTCCCCTTGGAATCTTCAGTTTTCAATATTTTGTTGCCCTCCATTTGGAAACTCCCAAGCTATAAGTTGCCTTTGAAACCTCCAATTTGGCTCAATGGAGTAGAGGAACTGTGTGCCCATTTTGCCTCTGTGCCCTTTTCCCAGCTCTGGTAATTTGTGGGACTTGGGAGAGCTTCAGATGGATCTTGCCTTTCAGAAACTCCTAGTAGCATCTGTGGGTTTTAGGGCGTTGCCCTGGCTCCTGTGGCATGAAAACCTCACCCTGTTCAGACTGTGTATATGGTATAATGTAGGTGGATCTGATTTACTTTTTGGTTTCCCCAAACTTCATTTATTCACTGTGTGTTCAAAAACAGTGAAATTAGAATATGGTAAATTACATTTTGGAGGTCCAGGTGGACCTGACAGTCAATGCACTTGACTGCTAGCCAAAGTTTTGTTGTTCAAGTCCACCCACAGGTGCCTCTCGAGAAAGACCTGTTGATCTACTTTTGAAAAATGAACCATTAAAAACCCTATGGTGCAGAGTTCTACTCTGACATGCATAGGGACACAATAAGTTGGAGTCAACTCTAGGACAACTGGAAGATGGCAGCAGCAACAACAACAACAACAAGAACCACCACATTTTAAAATCACTAATTTCTTAGAATTTGTCATATATTACTGCAGTAAAAAATTTTTATATCATACATCTTGAAATAATTTCTAAAGTAGAATGGATTGATATAGATGCTTTCAATACTAGTAGAAAGTGTTTGTATTCATTTTCAGTTTTATTTCAGAATGAAAGCTCAGTTGTCCAGACTTTTCAGCATTACTATTAATTACGCTAGTCGTAATAAGAAAGGAAGAGCTAATGACACTTTTCAATTTATTTCTTGCTTTTCAACTTTTCATTTCTAGCAGATGGTTCTGATGGTGGTTTTATTTTTTTATTTAGGAGATTAGCAAATGTTTTTGGAGCAGTATTTTGGCATTTCTCTTAGTTAAGACTTTTGGAATCTATTATACAGAGTATCTTGACAGAAAATGGGCTCATTCTGAAATGAGATGATAAAGAGATGTTCCTGTCAGCTGCTTCTCAGAAGACAGTAATAGCTGTTTCTAGATATATGCCATGACATTTTAAGAAAAATAGAATCATTTTATAACCCCAAAGAAAGTTCAGAAAGTTTGGAAGTAAGCTCACTTCCATGAGAGCAAGCACTGGAATTGGAGTCTGTGTATTTAGATTTGGGCTCTTATACTGTAATTTACCAGTTGTTTGGTCTTACACAGATTAATTAACTTCTCAGTGCCTCAGTTTCCTCATCTGCAAAACAGGGATATGTATCTGCTACCTATCTCACAGCTTTGTTATAAAGATGAAAAAGTGTGGAGCCACTTTTAAGGTTATAGGGATACACAGTTAATATATATAGCATAAGGTGTGGCATATGTGTGTCCAATTCTTCCAATAGCATGATATTTTAAATTTTTGTAATTGCTTTCTTATCTTAATCTCAGTAATAACAAATTTTATTTATTTCTAAAAAGTATTCTAATATTTGATATTTAGGACTTGCAGAATTTATAATAGAAAATATACTTATTCCTCATTTATTGACTATCTCATTATCTGACATTTCACATGTAAAATCAAACCCACAGCTATTGAATTGATTCCAACTCATAACTACTCTATAGAACAGATTAGAACTGCCCCATAGTGTTTCCAAGGCTGTAAATCTTTACAAAAGCAGACTGCCTCATCTTTCTCGTAGGGAGCAGCTGGTGGGTTTGAACTGCAACCTTTTGGTTAGCAGCCTAATTTCTTAACCACTGTGCCATCCACGAGCAGCTTTTTTCACATTTAGGACAATTAAAAAAAAAAACCTATCTGACTATTTTGCACATTAATCACATATTTTGGCAGTAATAAATGCCAAAGTGAGAGTAACTCTGCTGTGATGGTTATATATATGTCAACTTAGGCCATGATTTCTCTGTGGTTTGGCAGTTATGTAATTGTTATGGTTACCTAGTGCGGCTCTGACAAGAATATACCACAAATGGGATGGCTTTAACAAACAGCAGTTTATTCTCTCACGGTTTGGAGGCTTTACGTCCAAGTACAAAGTGCCAGGCTCTAGGGACTTTGTAAAAGCCCCTTGACCTTGGGCTTCAGCTCTGCCTCTTGCTGCCAGCCCACTGAAGCTAGAGGCATCTCTCCACTCAGGCAGCTGCTAGCTACTGAGGCTGACAAACCCAAGGTCAACAAATGAAAAGGCACAGTCCCAATGTTACCAAACCACATGGCAGGCCATTCATTCAAGTTCACTGAAAGTCCCGAGGTCAGCAGAGCATGGCAGGCTGCTGAGCAATTACACAGTTACATGAAGGGTCCAAGCATGCCATAAACTAGAGACCATGCCCCAAGGCTGCTTCTTATATACAGGAAGCAGACCACATTCCCTAATGCAGCTACTCAGCTGCTCTCAGTAGATTCCACCATGGAGCTGATTATCATTCTCATCATGGGGAATACTACAACCAACTGCCCAGCCACTTAACCAGGCTCAGCCAAGATGACACACAAACTGAACTACCACAGTAATGATATAATTTGGTGGTTGTGTAATGATGTAATCATCCTCCATTTTGTGATCTGATGTGGTCATCCTCCATTTTCATATAAAGCTGATTTTCACATAATGAACTGGTCTTTGGAATCTAACCATATCAATAAGTGAGGAGTGGGTATGTTAAGGGAATATAGAGTATTACTTTCTAAATATGTGTTAATGACTTTGTGCCTTTAGGTATACCAAACTTGGCTACGCAGGCAACACTGAACCACAGTTCATTATACCTTCATGTAAGTAAAGTTTTATCTCTGATTTGTAATGTTTCTGAAGATTGTTCTAAGTATTTTATTTTGCTTATCAAGGACTATTAATTTACTTGCATCTTCTTTTAGAAGATTGTTCTAGTTTCCTCAAAAGAACCTTACTGCCATTGAGTTGTTTCTGATTCATAGTGATCCCTCCTTGGGTTTCTGAGGCAGTATCTCTATGGAAGTAGATTGCCCAATCTTCTCAAGAGTGGCTGGTGGGTTTGAACTGACACTCTTCTGGTTAGCAGTCACATGTCTTAGGCACTATGCCACCAGAGCTCTTGTTCTGGTTACTGGGAATGGTTATTTATTTTGATGTGCAGTTCTTGAATATTGCTGTAGAATATTGCTGTGATATTATTACAAAAACAACTTTGCAGTTCTTTGAGCTTTCTGATATAACCCTTATTCACTGTCACTCTCTTTCAGGTTTTACCTTGGGTGGTTGGCAAGGGCCTGCCTTTTTTTTTTAATTGTAATTTTGTAGACCACAGAACATTTATCACATGTACAGTTCAATGACATTAATTCTCTTCATCATGTTCAAATATCACCCTTGACCATTCTTTGCAAAGGCCTTTCATTCAATCATGAATTTCTGAACTACCTAGAAAATGTGTTTCTGGTTTTTAAAATTCATAATTTTAACTAAGTATAATTCTGTTAACTTAGCAACTTCTGTGAGGTGGATTCCTATTGTACTAAAAGATTTTTTTTTCAACAGTCCAGAGAGTCCTGATGACTCTTACTGTGGTGAGAAATGTTCTGTTTTTTGTTAATTTTTAGTCAGTAGATAATGACAGACTTAAAAGAAAAAAATACCCTCACATTTTGGCTAGAATTCATTCTGCACTACTCTTTATTTCCACAGAAGTCAACTCAGTATAGGTGGGATCAGTTTTTTATGGGGAAGAATGATCTGAAATTACCTAAATTCTGCATTATTATTTGCCTAAAGTTTGACAGAGAGTAAGGTTTATCAATCAAGAATGAGGTAGAGCTCTGCCACCATAAGTGTAACTCTTGAAGGATAAGCTTTATGGTATTATGATATTATGGATCTGGGTGACTAATACAGAATATAAACAGTATAAGAGAGCCAGAGGGAAAGAGCTTGATTAATGTTTCCTCAAGGGAAGACTAAAGGCAATCCCTTAGTAAGTATGGGTATTCATACCAGTATAAAAATGTATTCAGTTCCTAGAACATGTCTAATTTACCTCCTTCTACTTCTTTGCTTGCTGGATAACTAACCATGAATTTGACTATTTAATGTGTTAGATGTGGACACTTTAATATCAGGAACGAGGTGTCATAGATAATATGAATGATTGGTCTGATACATTCTTATTTAAAATTAATGAGCTCACATTCTGTAGGATGCATCTTTTGTGGATTTTATTATTGTAAGTAACCTAGAACTGCATTATTCCATGCTGAATTTATATATGAAACTTTCTGACTTTTCAAAATAGAAGAGTGAATTTTAACCTTATTAGGTACAGCATCTCTAAAACATTGACCTTGTACCTTTTGCTTTAATGCACTGCCTTTTAAAACTGTCAGCAGCATTTAGTTGGCTGCCCCATTTAGCCTGTCATCATTAATAGAGAATTGAAGTCAGTTATTAGTAGGATTTCATTCACTGTCAAAAGTCAAGAGAACTCTCAGATTGGTGCTGTCAGAATATTAGCAGTGGCGGAAGCCAGGAAGATAATAAAAATGTCAAAGAGGTGGGAGGGAAAGAATAGCTATATTGTTGGCTAAATTTGTTGCAAGAAACAGAGAAGTACTAGGAGGCAAGTTTATAAGATGACTGGGCAGAAGTGAGGGTGTTAAGATAAATAGAGGGCCTTGTTTATCTTAAACAGTTGGCCTACTTATTCCTTGGTCTTAGTTTTGTGAGCTGAATTATTTTTTCTGCTTGCAGGGGTCCACTCACAAGGTGAAATTCAGTTATGTATGTGTTAAAGTGGACATTAGGAAGAGAAAAGGTGAAGCTATGTGTATATCTGGTAAATCCTGGAACAAGATTTCTGATCCTGATGGGTATAGCATTTGCTAAAAGCATAGTGCTCAGACACTTTTTGTGTGAAGAAACAGGAGCATATTAGAAATCACAGTTCCAAATAGAGGGTGACAGGAGATGTGGTTGGAAATGAAGAGAAGATATGTCTGATAAAGGACTTTGAATTGTCATCTTAAGGAACTTAATTTTGTTTTCTGTAATAGGAATTTTCATACTGTTTCTGAGGGGTTTTAGGAGAATAGTCTGCAAGATTAGGGGGACTCTGGGTCTAGTCCCTTTTCTACAACATTAAAAAAAAAAAAAAAGAAAAAACAAACCTAACTCACTGCCATTGAGTCAGAGCTGACTCAGCGACCCCTCCTTGGGTTTCTGAGTCAGTATCACTATGGAAGTAGATTGCCCAATCTTCCTTCTGAGGAGTGGCTGGTAGGTTTGAACCGCCAGCCTTCTGGTTAGCAGTCTAATGCCTTAGGCACTATGCCACCAGAACTCCTTCTCCAAGGGTAGCCCTCCATTTATCTGTTTTGTTTATTTGAGTTTCTGTACAGAATTGGCTTGATTCCCTGAAGAAAGTTTTTTCTCTACCTTTTTTTTTTTTTTTAAAGTTACTGGATGTTATTGGAAGTCTGAAAAGTTTTAAGCAGAGGAGTATACAGTGATCAGGTAAACAAAAGGGGAATGTAGGCAGAGCAGGGAGTTGTAAGGAGAAAGTAAATACATTTTAGATTTCCAGTGTTTGAAGACTTTAGGTGTAAAGGTCCAATAGGCAATTGGATAAAAGGTTCAGTGCTCATGGGAAGGGTCTTGCTTGGAAATGGAAATTGAATCCTAAGATAATTTTTCTTTTTTTTTTTTTCTAAATAGAGGTCTTTAAAACTTTATTTTGGAATAAAATGCAAAATATAATATAACAAAAACCTATGGACCCACTAGCCAGAATTAACAAGCGTTAACACTGTGTCATAGTTATGTCAGAGTAACTCACTGTTACTGATTGAATTGTGTCCCCCCACTATATGCGTTGTGAATCTTAACTTCTCTGCCTGTGGTTATAATCACATTTGGAATGTTGTTGTTGTTGTTGCTATGTGCCCTGGAGTCAGCCCAGCCCAACTCATAGCGACCCCGCCTTGGGTTGCCTAGGCAGTATCACTACGGAAGTAGATTGCCCATTCTTCCTTCCAAGGAGTGGCTGATGGGTTTGAACCAGCCTTCTGGTTGGCAGTCAAGTGCCTTAGACACTATGCTACCAGAGCTCCTCCCATCTGGAATAGGTTGTCTTTATGTTAATGAAACTGGATTAATGTAGGATGTGTTTTGAGTCCATTGCTTATGAGATGTAAAGGTGATTAACCAAACAAGTGAAAGAGCAGACATGGAGGAAGATTTCTGCCAAGCCACATGGAGATCTCCAAACTAGGAAACAAGCTGAAGAGACAAAGAACTTCCTCTAGAGCTGACATAGAAAGGCTTTCCCTACAGCCAGTCCTCTGAATTCAGACTTTCAGCCTCTTAAATTTTGAAAAAATAAATTTCTTGTTTGTTAAAGCAATCCACTTGTAGTATTTCTTTTATGGCAGCACTAGATAACTAAGACACTACCTAACTGATTGCATTATAGATTGAATATGAGGTGCTTCTGTTCTTCCCAGTCCTTTCCTCCTTTTCCTTGCTCTCCTTCCTCTGTTGAATATTTTCTGATAGTTATTTAGTTTGTGTTTCTGTCCTTACATTATATATACCACCATGCATTAATAATATACAGTACTGTTTTGTGAGTTTAAAAATCTACAGGATGGTATCATACTAAATAACTTTCTATATTGTCCCTTTTAAAAAACACTCATTGTTTCTAAAATGTATCAATGCTAATATAGAGAGATTGAGATCAGAATTCCAACATGTGTTTATACTTTTTTCCATTTAGCATTTTCCAGTTTTCTCTATTATAGAAAATGGTACAATGAATATTTTTTTGCACATGTGCCTGTTTCCAAACAAAATAATAAGAAATGTAATTGTTTCATCATAGTGTATGTACATCTTCAACCTTATTAGTTATCGTCAAATTACTCTTCCAAGTGGTTGTACTAGTTTATCCTCCATCAGCAGTGTATGAGAGATTCTATTTCTCACATCCTTGACAACACTTGGTATGATCAGTCTTAATTTTTGCCAATCCAATGAATATAAAATGATGTCTGAAAAAAATCTGTGATTAGTAGTAAGGTTGAACATTTTTCTTACCTGTTCAAATTTTTGCCCATTTTTGTGTGGTTTTTTTTTTTTTTTGTCTTTTTTAACATAGCCTTATAGGCATTCTTTGTATGTACTGGATACTCTTTGTTGCAAATAAACTATCTTAATGTATGACATCATTTTTTTTATTATTTGATGTTTTATTATTAACATGTGTATGTTTTTTACATGTATTTTCATAAGTATAATTTTTACTTCAAGAAAGCAAAAGAAATCCTGACTGATGGACTAAAATTTCAAACCAATAGCCATTTTTCATTGACATGAGTGAAACTTTCATTATCTGATGATAATGAATAATTACGTCAATACAAGCAGATGCTCTGCCTCAGTGACAGGGTGTGTTTTGGTAGAAGCCTGTATTTGTGCATGTGCATTTTTTTTTTAATTTTAAGACCTTGTTTTACATTCAACCTTGCATGTACATTTAGTTTCATTCCCCATTTACCACGTTCAACCCTAACCCAGTCTCTTTCCCTCCCTACCCCATAACCATCCCCCTGTCCCCTCATAATTATGCACTCCTGTTTGTCCTGCATTTCCTCAACCTGAATTTTGGTCTATGGTGTCATGGTCTATTGCTCCAAAGGATATATTACCATAGAGTATGTGGGTGTGTCATCCTGGGTTGAGTGGTCTGCATGTACATTTTGTTAATTATTGGGCTGAGAGCCAGCCCCTGGGGGTGTGTTTT